CTCTGCCTCCTGAGTGCTGGGATTAAAGGCATGCACCACCACACCCAGCTGGCAAATAGTTTTCAAGATTTATTTTTATTATTTCTCTGTGTGTGCACGCGTGCGCCCACTGGTGTGCGTGTGCCTGCATGTGGGTGGGTACCACTGAGGCCAAAGGCATCAGATACCTCTGGAGCTGGGGTTACATGCAGTTGTCAACTATTCGACATGGGTGCTGGGTCCTGAACTCAGGTCCTCTGCAAGAGCAGTATGTGCTCTTAACCACTAAGCCAGCTTTCCAACCCCAATATCCAAACTTTAAAAGAAGGAGGCATTACCTTGTGGAGTGGAATGTGGGCAGAGGAGGCTCATTGCTGGTGTCCTGAATTCCTGTATAATGGGACCCTGGAACTTTTGCATTGCTTCATGATACAGGATATTTATTTCCATTTGACAGAGGAGGATGCTGAGGCTCAAAACTGGGAAATGAATTTGCTCAAAAATCACACAGCAGGGAAGTGGCCTAGCTCTTTCTTAGATGTGGAGCTGTTCTGGGCTGGCAGTCATAACTGTTGTTGGGGTAACAGTCCTGAGGGAGTCAGTGAGTCTCTAGCTCAGTTCAGCCCTCTGGTGCCTGCTGTAACTCATCTCTGCCCCACGCAGGACCCAGGGAAGGCAGCCCATGACCTGGCCCAGCTCAGAGTGGCCTCACAGGTCCTCAGAGAACAATTTGTTGCAGGTGGAAATGGTGTTGGAAGTCTTCATCCTCCTCATGTTCTGGCCAAGTGCTACTTTGTTAACAAGGCCTTCCCTGACCACTGCAAATTTCAAGCCTCCAACAACTTCAACTCCCCTTTCTCTTCCTCTTCCTCTCTCCCTCCTCTCCTTCTTCCTTTTTTCTCTCCTCCTCCTTTTCCTTCTTTCTCCCTCCTCTTCCTCTCCCTTCACCTCCTCTCTCTTTTGAAGTACTAGGATCAAACGCAGGACCTCATACATACTAGACAAGTGCTGAACCATTGATCTACTCCCCCAGCCTCTTTAAAATTTCTGAGATAAGGTATCACTAAGTTACCTAAGCTGGCTTTGGACATACTACATAGCCCAGGCTGGCCTCAAACTTCTGATCCTCCTGGCTCAGCCTCCAGAGTAGCTGGGATGCCAGGCCTGCACCTGCGGCCATCCTTACCCCTGCTTCATTTTTCTCCTGAGCAGGTATGGCCATTTATCTTAACATATTTATTTATTTTCTGCATTACTATGCTGTCTCTCTCCACTAGAAAGCAAACTGCAGGGGGCAAGGAGGTTTGTTGCTTTGTTTTTTGAGGCAGGGTCTCATCAGTCCAGGCTGGCCTCAAAGTGGCTATGCAGCCAAGGGAGGATGACCTTGAACTCCTGTTCTCCTCTGCATCACCACATCCAGTTTATGTGCTGCTGGGGATCAAACGGGATTTCATACACATTAGGCAGGCACTCTACCTACCAATGGAGCTACATCCCCAGTTCCTGCATGTGCCAAGCTTTGCATTGTACTGATGCAGAGCTGGATACCAGTACCAAGAGCAGGCCTGGCACATAGCAAGCTCCTAGTGACCATGAACTAGAAAGGTTCCCCTCTGGCCAGGGATGGGGCTTGGTTAGTGCAGTGCTTTCCTTGCATGCAGGAAGCCTTAGGTTCCAAGTCCAAACATGACAGTCCACGCCTGTAATCCCAGCAGAGGCAGGAGGATCAGGAGCTGAGGGTCATCCTTAGCTACATAGCAAGTTTGAGGCCAGCCTGGGCTATGTGAGACCCCATCTCATAAACCAAAAAATAAAAAGTCATGGGATTGGGGACATCGCTCAGCAGTTAAGACTTGCTGCTCTTCCAGAGGATCTGAATTCAGTTCCCAGCACCCACACCAGGTGGCTCACAACTGCCTGTGACTCCCAGTCCAGGGGATCTAATGCCCTCTGCTGGTCTCCTCAGGCACCTGCATACACACAGCATACACACAAACACAACACACATTTAAAAAAATCCCCTCTGGCATGTGTGGTGGCATATGTCTTTAGTCTCAGCAATGGGGAGGCAGGGGCAGGTGGATCTCTATGAGATCGAAGCCAGCCTGGTCTACATAGTGAGTTTCAGGCCAGTTGGGGCTACAGGGAGACTCTGTCTCAAAAAGACCCCCCCCCCAAAAATCCCCTCTCCCAGGGTTTTAGGCTCCACCTCCAGCGCCCCTAAGTGACTGTTCTATATCCCTAGGACCCCCGAAACAAGCACAAGTTCCGCCTGCACAGCTACAGCAGCCCCACCTTCTGTGACCACTGTGGCTCCCTCCTCTACGGGCTGGTGCACCAGGGCATGAAATGTTCCTGTGAGTATGCCTTCCTGGTTTCCAGCTGCACCAGCAGAGATCAGACGCTTGGGCGTGAGTTAGGGGTTAGGTGGTGGAGTGGGGTGGGGCTGTCCTTCAACCACAGTGCAATGTCTACGATTCCGGAGGAATGCAGGGTTGGGACTGGTGGGGGCGGCGAGCTTAAAGTACTATCTCTAGCTTTGTCCCACCAGGCTGCGAGATGAACGTGCACAGACGCTGTGTGCGCAGCGTGCCCTCCCTGTGTGGTGTGGACCACACGGAGCGCCGTGGGCGTCTGCAGCTGGAAATCCGGGCTCCCACGGCTGATGAGATCCACATCACGGGTGAGACCACGCCCCCTCCCTGACCACTCCCTCTCCCTTAGTGTGACATCCTCCCACCTGTGGTGTACTGTACCCCAAATTGGGAGCCACACCCCCTAATGCCCATACCTACATGCCTAACCCCTCCACCCCAATCCCAGCTGCTGGGCTCCACCCACCCACGCCCCTTGTAGCCTGAAGCCCCGCCTCCAGCTTTAGTCTTTCACATAAGATCTCATGGAGAGCCTAGGCTGCCCTCGAACTTGATATGTAGCCGAGGCTGGTCTTGAACTCCTGGTCCTCCTGCTTCCACGTCTCAAATGCTGAGATTACGGGCATGCACCACCATGCCAGGTTTCCCTTTTTTGCTGGTATGGGAAGGTTGAACCTAGGACTTCATGCATGCTAATCTAGACCTCTACCGCTGAGCTACAGTCCCCTCCCCATCCCCCTTTCCTCTTGTAGCCATCCCAGGTAGCAGGGTGATTCAAAGTGTGGGATGAGAGGCAGGATCCAATTTACCAAGCAGGGTCAGATTTTTGGGCTCCTGAGTCCTAGTGGTAGAAAAGGTTCTGGATCTGATTTCTGAGAACATGGTCTGGGCAAAATGCCTTATGCCCTGTTGATTTGGGGGCAGGGGTGCCGCAAGGAGTCACAGAGAAAGGAGACTGACCTTGAATTCTTTTTAATATTTTTTTTCATTTTTAACATTTATTTATTGTGTGTATGGTTATGTGTGTATTTTTGGTTGCTTTTTTAAAAAAATTATTATTTTTATTTTATGTGTATGAGTGTATTGCCTGCATGTATGTGAGTGCACCCATGTCGTACAATGCTGCAGAGGTCAGAAGAAGGCTTTGGATTCCCCTGGAACTGGAGTTAAGGATGGTTCATAGCCGCCATGTGGGTGCTGGGAATTGAACCCGGGTCCTCTGCAAGAGCAGTCAGTGCTCTTAACCGCTGAGCCATCTCTCCAGCCTTGTTTTTTAATTTTTAAAAATATATTTATTTCTAATTTTATGTGTATTAGTGTATTCCTACACGCATGTAAATGCACCCACCCATATTGTACAATGCCTGTGGAGGTTAGAAGAGGGTGTTGGGTCCTCTAGAACTGGAGTTACAGGTGGTTGTTAGCTGCCATGTGGGTGCTGGGAATCAAACCCAGGTTCTCTGCAAAAGCAGCCAGTGCTCTTAACCACTGAGCATCTCTTCAGCTTCCACATTTTGTTTTGAGACAGGGTCTTCCTGTAGCCCCAGCGGACTAGGATCAGGTCGCTATGTGGATCAGGCTGGCCTTGAACTCACAGAGATCCTCCTTCCTCTGCCTCCCAAGTGCTAGGATTAAAGACATGCACCATCACGCCTGCTGCGGATGTGTATGTGTGTGTGTGTCTAAGTGTGTGGGTGTGTGCCTGCCACAGTGCATGTGTGGCGATCAGAGGACAATTTGCTAGAGTTGGTTCTGTCTTACCATCTGGGTTCTGGGGATTGAACTCAGGTCATCAGACTTGTCAGCAAGCCCCTTTTCCAACTGAGCCATCTCTCCCTCCCTGACCTTGATTGTGAACTGTGGGAGGACTGAGAGCCATTTCTTAGGCCTCTAACTCAAGCTACCTCCCTGACATTCCTCTTTCAGTTGGTGAGGCCCGGAACCTCATTCCCATGGACCCCAATGGTCTGTCTGATCCCTACGTGAAGCTGAAGCTCATTCCAGACCCTCGGAACTTGACAAAGCAGAAGACACGGACGGTGAAAGCCACACTGAACCCCGTGTGGAACGAGACCTTCGTGTTGTGAGCTCTGGGACTGTGATGTCTGATGCAGGAGGATCTGAGGGTCCTAGTATCTTATGAAATTTCAGAGAGAAGTTAGTGGGAGATGTTAGGATAAGGGGAAGTCCTAAATGTGGCAGGAGCCAATGGAGAAAGGAATCAAGTGATTGAATGGGGGAAGGGGGAGGATTCAGAAACTGAGAGACAGATCTCAGGGTATTTAATCTCTCAGAACCTTCCACATTAGAGTGAGATCAGAGGAGAGACAGAGGAAAAGCAAGACAGGACTCTTAAGAAGCAGAGATTAAGAGGACAGGCAAGTGGATGTAAGATATTCAGACATGCCAGGCATGGTGGTGTATGCCTTTAATCCTAGGACTCAGGAGACTAGGCAGATCTCTGTTAGTTCAAGTCCAGTCTGGTATATATAGTGAGTTCCAGGCCAGTTGGGGCTACAGGGAGACCCTGTCTCAAAAAGACCCCCCCCCCCAAAAATACTCAGACAGGTAGTTAGGACAGGTGGGGAGAGGAACAGGAAGAGGCAGCCCTAGAGAGAAAAGGAGATCCAGAGGAGGAAAGAGAGAAAAGGGCTGGAGGGTTTCAGGCAAAGCACAGAGGGGCAAACAGGTAGAAGCAATGAGAGAGGGAGACAAGACTAGTGAGATGCTAAGTATGTTTGTACATGCCTATAATCCAGCAACTGGGAGGCTTAGGATGGGGTTGTGTGTTCAACAGGAAGAGGCAGCCCTAGAGAGAAAAGGAGATCCAGAGGAGGAAAGAGAGAAAAGGGCTGGAGGGTTTCAGGCAAAGCACAGAGGGGCAAACAGGTAGAAGCAATGAGAGAGGGAGACAAGACTAGTGAGATGCTAAGTATGTTTGTACATGCCTATAATCCAGCAACTGGGAGGCTTAGGATGGGGTTGTGTGTTCAAGGCCAGCCTGGACTATATAGAAAGAAAAGACAAAAGACAAAGGAAGGTGGGAAGAATTAAGTGTGTGTGTGTGGGGGGGGAGACAGAGACGGAGAAGCAGAGAGACACAGAAAAGGAGGAGGAGGAAGAGGAAAAGGAGGAGGAGGGGGAGGGCAAGGGACAGGAAGGGGAGGTAAGGATGGCAGTGGAGTAGCAGGGAGAGAGAGAAGGCAGAGGTGCGGGAGGACAGATTCCCAGAGAGAGCAGGGACACAGAGACTCAGAGCAGAAAGGGAAAAGGACCAGGAGACCCAGGTGAGAATGCACCAAGAACCTGGGAGGATCTGAAGGAGCCAGTGATAGCAAAGTTTATGATGTATGACCTCCAGTATCCATAGTGGGGGAGACTCACTTTGTGGGGTTCTGAGGTGGGGAAACGTTCAAGCACACAGGGCAGGGAAGTGGGGAGCCATGCATTTGGCCCCTCATTCTGCCCCCACCCTTCCCACAGCAACCTGAAGCCAGGGGATGTGGAGCGACGGCTCAGTGTGGAGGTGTGGGACTGGGATAGGACTTCGCGAAATGACTTCATGGGAGCCATGTCCTTTGGTGTCTCAGAGCTGCTCAAGGCCCCTGTGGATGGCTGGTGAGGAGCCGGGCTGGAGCTGGTGGTGGACCTGAGTGTCCCCTCCTCCCTCCTTTAGACCACCATCTTTTCCTTCCCTTCCCCTCCCTTTCTCCTCCACCTCCTTTTCTTCCTCCTCTTCCTCTTCTCTCTTCCTTGCTCTCCCCCCTCTCCTTATCTCACTCTTTCTCTCTCTCCATCTGTGTCTGTCTTTCTGTGTCACTTTCCTCCCTTTGGATGTCTCTACCTCTCCCATGGGTGCCCCATTTCCCCCCACTCCTGCCCGGCCCTGGTCTCCGTCTGTATGTCAGGTACAAGTTACTGAACCAGGAGGAGGGCGAATATTACAATGTACCGGTGGCCGATGCTGACAACTGCAGCCTCCTCCAGAAGTTTGAGGTACCCTGACTGACTGACTGACTGGCTTCCCCAGGGGAGCCCAGCCCAGCCTCCCTCACTTCAGAGCTGGCTTTGCCCTTCATCCCTGGTAGACCACTGGCTCTTGGACTACAATTCCCAGAAGACCCCAAGGCTCCTTTCTGTACTCTTCTAGGGGGCTAGGCACCATGGTCTGATGGGAGTTGTAGTTCTCCATCCCCATGGCTTTGGGGTATTAGGGACCCTCGTGGGTCCTGTTCTAGAAAAATCACCTGTTTCTCTTGGGGTCCTGACTGTGTGTTTTCTTCTCCCCCAGGCCTGTAATTACCCCTTGGAACTGTATGAGGTAAGTAGAGTTGAGATGTTGTGTCTGTCTGATCCCTAGTAGCCCCTCCCCTGATTCCTGCCTTCAGGTCTACACATGAGTTGATCACTTATTTTCTGCCAGTATATCCTGCATTTGATGAATAAGCCCAGTGACTCTCTAAGGCAGAGATATCATGACAGGTACTTATTAAGCTAAATTACTAGAGGCTCAGGGCACTGGGGAAGCCTAGAGGAGGTATTAGCCCACCCTGGAGGAAATGCAGACAGGGAAGGCTTTGCTTGAATTGGCCCTTGAGCTTTTCTGCCTTTTTGTGGACAGGACACTACTCTCTCCCTTCATTCAGCCACTCATTCACCCACTCACACTATTTCCTGAAGCATAGCACCAGTCAGGCCTGCTCTGGAGTAGAGTCAGTCCATTCCCCAGGGCTCCTCTCTAATGGAGGAAGAAGCTGAGACATTCAGAACAAGAATGTGTTTGATGGTGGAAACAGATTCAGGCACCAGTGTGCCAGCACAGCCTGAGAGACAGAGGGAGGGAGGGAGGGAGGAAGGGAGGGAGGGAGAAGAGGAGGGACAGAGGGAGGGATGGAGGGGAGTAGGGATGGAGGGAGGGGAGGAGGGACAGAGGGAGGAAGGAAACTCTCTTCTTCCTTCACCTATTAAAAATAGCACTCCAAGCTGGGTGTGGTAGCACATGCTTTTAATCCCAGCACCCGGGAGGCTGAACTCTATGAGTTCAAGGCCAGCCTTGTCTACATAGTGAGTTCCAGGCCAGCTGGGGCTACAGGGAGACCCTGTCTGAA